TTGAGAGTTATCCACCACCTCAGAGTGGGGACATTTCAATGGCACCCATAGTCCAGAATCCTATTAACCTCCTGGCACTGCCTCCAGCTCCAAGCCAGGAACAGAAAGAGAATAAGAATGTGGAGAATATTAAAACCAAGCTTTCCAAGCACGGGAATGGGTACCAGATCCCAACAGAAAACGAGGCTCCTCCACTGCTCCCTTTAGAAGTGCCTGACATTCCACAGGTGCTGGCCTGCATTGGTCCCCTTGGCCAAGAGGAGCAGCCTGGTTGTGACAACTCTGGTTTGGGAAAGAATAGCCTGAGTCTTAAGGACCAAGGGACACTTGAAAATGGGACTGAATCTAATGACAGTTTTGCAGACATCGACACACTGGTGAAGGGTATTCACCTTCCACAGGTCTTAAGTTCCTTGGATGACCTTGATCAGGCCCAAGGACCCAAGGTGATCAAAACCAAAGACACCAGGGGCCTCAAGTTGCACGAAGTGCAGAAAGAGTCAAGTGTCGGAAAGACTCACTCTGATCAAGGCAGCAAGATCAAACATAAAGCCTGTGAGCCAATGAGTGATGCTCCCAAGACCAAGATCAAGCCCGAGAGCCCAGATTGTGTGTTTGTGGGAGAAGTGGCTCCTTGCAATGCTGCAGCTGGTGGCAGGGCTCCTTCGAAGATGGCCAAGCATTCTAACAGCAAACCTCAGGGAGCTGCAGCCAGCAGGACCAGCAATACTAAGAGCGATGGGCAGAAAAACACCAAAAGAAACAAAGAAAATTCCTCCAAGAGAGCTGAGGAGAGGAAGCAGTCAGGCAACAAAGTCAAGGCAGAGGAGAAGCCAGCCATTCCCAAGGTGAAGAGGAAGAAAAGTCATCCTGAGCTGCCACAAGAGGCCATCAAAAAGCCTCGCAGCGGCCTCGGTGTGCACATGCTGGAGTCTGTGCAGGTTTTCCATGCACTGGGCAAGAAGAGGGATGAGAAAGCTGACCTGTTTTCCTCGCGGGCCCTGGGAAACTCAAGCAACCCTAAAGGCCCCCAGCCACGCCCAGCTACCAAACCATGGCTGGTTATGCCCCCTGAGGGCAAAGGTCCTGTGAAAACTCAAGTCAAATCCCAAAAACCACATGGAAGTGCTGGCAAAGGGTCTCCACCTCCATCCCAGGACAAGCTGCCTTCTCCCGGGAAGGTCAAGTTGGTGCCATTGGTTTTTCCAACCTGGGAAAAGCCTCAAGTTCGACCTGTTCCTCGCAGGCCACAGTCTCTGGCATCACGTAGGCCTGCTGGGACCAACCCTGCCAAGCCTGCTGCAGTCACTGCATCCCTGCCAACTCCTGTATCTTTGACAGGGCCTGTCAAATCAGCTCAGCCAATATCGTCCAACTCAGCTGGACCAGGTTTGACCAACCGTGACTGCCCTAGTGTCCCGCAGCCTCCTGCTTCTAGGCCTGGGCCCTACAAAACATCATCTTGTGCTTCTTTCCAGCGGGAGCCTGTTCACTCGGCTGTGAGCCAGCCCCGCACCCCGCTCAAGCCTCACAACCACTATCTACTCCAAGATTTTGCCCTTCAACCAATTCCATGGAGGATACCTGAGGTCCTGGGGCCAGTAATGTCAACACCCATCACAAAGGAGCAGAGGCCAGATCGAGAGGCCATGAAGAGGAAGGCTCAACTAGAGCGTGAGAATGCTGCCAAATTGGGGACAAGGCAGCATTTCATTGAGAGGGAAAAAGAAATGGACATTTCTCTCTACTATGGCTATGTGATGTAGGAGATGCTGGGAGTGCTGGTGCCATTTGGGTACCTGCTGTTTTTCGATAGATAGATAGATAGATAGATCATAAATAGATAGATAGATAGATAGATACATAGATAGATAGATAGATAGATAGATAGATAGATAGATAGATAGATAGA